GCCTTGGTAACATTTTCCCTAATAGGTTTAGCCATGGCTAACTTAAAGGTACTAGGTGAAGGTGTCACGATCCTAAGAAAGAGTTATGAATCTCACATCAGCAGTATATTAGAGTTGATCATGAGATATAAGGATTTACAGCACCTTCAACTTGTGAAGTACCTTTTATGGGATAAAACGGTGAGATCTAAGGGATCGAAGCGGATACCTCACAAGTTAATATGAACCATGACAGTTAGATTGATTTGAGATGTCGGATGAGTCCATTCTCGGGTCTTAGAGTAGCATGAGCTTGGAGTTTAAATCTCATCTCATGACGAGTGATATCAAAGCCATCTTTGAGAGTACTAACGATATATTATCGAAGATGATGGCCCTTCTTTAGAGTGAGAGAAAATGTCACGGTCTTAGAGAAAAGTCATGAATCCCACATCGACTGTTTACTAGAATTGATCATGGGATATAACGGTTCACATTACTTTTAACTTGTGAAATACTTTTTATGAGATAAATCGTGAGGCCAAGAGGGCCAAAGCATATAATACCTTACAAGTTTATGTGAATTGTGATAGTTTAGCTTATCTAAGACATTGGATGAGTCCATTCCCTAGTCCTAGAGTCGCGTGAGCTTAGAGCTTGAGTCTTGGCATGTGACACAGGCACATATTTAATTCACTTACACATGAAACAATTGAAAAAATTAGTTGGTAATTAAGCAAAAATTGATTAAGTAAGATATAAAATTAAACAAATAATAATTCTATTAAAAAAATTATCACATTTTATGTGATGGATTATGTACAATAGACTTATATCCCAATATTGGTCAACCTTCTTCTTAAGTTTTGTAAGAAGTGAATAATAAGATTGTTTATTCTAGCTATGGTAAAATACATTAGAAATCCTCCATGTTCTAGCATAAAAGTTGGGACATTTTGAATTTGGCACATGTATAGATTGCATTAAGAGAAAATTCGTTGCTAAGATTAGGAATGACAATATTAATAGTGGAGATGTTTTAGAACTGATTCATATAAATATTTGTAGACCATTTCCTCTTATTACATTGATCACCTTCATTGAAACCATTCTATTTTCGATCATATAGAGTAAGAAGTCTGATCTTTTAGAAGCTTTAATTTTTTTTAATCTGTTGTTGAATTTTAAAATTATGAACCAATTAAAGTAGTGAGACCAAATAAGGGTGATGAATACTGTGGTTGATATGATGAAACCATATGAAACCCTGGACCATTTTGCTAAGTTTTCATCAGATTGTGGTGTTGGGTGCTAGTGTACTATGCTTACTACACCGAAATAGAATAAGGTTGTAGTAAGAGGCAGCTGCACATTGTTAGATATGGTGCAATTTATGTCAACTAACTATACCCTATCAGATTTTATATGGAGTGAAGCCTTGAAGACTACAAGTTACATTTTGAATAAGCTCCAAGCAAAACTAGTTTTCAAAATTCCTTATAAATTGTGGTCAGAGAAAAAGTTGAATTTGTCCATTTTTCATGTTTAGTTATATGGTAGAGGGACAGGCCTACATATATTTTTTAGTATAAAAAAAGATGCAATCTAAGGATAAAAGAAGAGGTTGCATGTTCTAGGATTTAAACTCTAGATCTATCGATGCCACCTCTTAAAAGATGATTCTATAAACTAATTGAATTAAGTTATAAATTCCATGCTACTTTTACATTTGCTTCATATTTTTCAATTTCTTCTTTCCTAATTAGTATTAGACTACAAATTTTATCCATTTTCTTTCACACTACTACAAGCAATGTTTGAAAAATTAAGTTTATTACTTCTATGATTCACCATAACAGTGCACCTTTCATCTTTTAAGTACATTGGCAACCATAGATAACATTTTGTTCCTATTTAATTCTCTTATATGAAGACAATCTTGACTGTCATATACATATATATATACTCAAAAATTTAAGGTATTGGTAATAAATGCATTATCAATTGTATCTAATTAGAAATAATTTATTTCATCAAAACATTATTAGCTTTATGATAATAAGTAATGCTAAATATATCTACATAATGTTAAGAACTTTGTATGATTTTTTATACAACAAAATTTGAGTAAGAATAAATTGATTGGATTGACACATAAGTAAATAAAACTTGTGTTTTGAAAATATCGTGCACTTTTTTTTGTTCAAAATAACAATTTTATCTTAAATATCAAAATTTGTGTTAAAAATATTTTAAAAATATTGTGAAAAAATTTGACATTTAAAGATAAATAATATAATAAGGGCATTTCAAATGTAATATAAAAAGTTTTGTTATAAAATGTTTCTTTCTAAGAAATGTATTCTTGTTGGTGATGTAACGATTCCTGGCATCGATGGTAGATTATTTGCACCAACATGGAAAACTGAACAAAGTTAGAATATGACTTTAAGGCATATTGCAAATGTCGCTTTCTTTTAGACTTATTTTGTTACTTACAAAGCTTGCTCTTCAATGAATTGTTGTTTGATGATGTACTTCCCTGGAGCAATGCCCTTGAGTAGTCGGTTGTAGTCTTTCTTTCCAAGTCTTGTGTTGAACTAAAGATGGAGTTTTCAAATTAAAATGGAAATGGCTTTAAGACGTACTACAAATGCCATTTTTCTTAAAGCTTATTTAGTCCCTACCAATAATGGTATGCAAAAGGGATATATCAAAATGCTTTAAAAAAACAATAAAGCTTGATTTGAATCACCTCACACTAATGAGTTCAACATTTATCTCGTAGCAATACGATTTGGTAATGCTTATTTTGTTCATACAGTTAGCCTATTCATGACTGCTTTTTCTTCAACTCATTCTTAAACATTTTTTGGATTTTCTACTATGTTAAAGATACATTATTTCATGGATTTTAATTGTCTGCTTACTTCCTTAGTTATTTATGGGTATTTTGATGTTGATTGGATTAAAGATCATACAAATCATCGTTTCACCACTAGTCTTTTTAGGAGATTCTCTCATTTTTTGGCAAAACAAGGAACAAACTGTAATTGTTCGATTTAACACTAAATCATAATTTTCATGCTCTTGTTAATGCCATTTTATAATTATTTTGTCTTCGACGTTTACTAGACAATATAAGCATAACCTGTCCTCCATCATCATGCTTCACTATAATAATCGCAGTGTTAAATTTTTGTTTTATGGTTTTTTTAAGGTTAAAAGATAAAAAAAAAAAAAAACTCTCATAACAAAATTTAATAATCATCAAAACCCCTATCTTTTTATTATCATTAATTAAATCCTCAAATATTTATTTTTGTTAATTAAAACCTTATTAGACAAAAATTATTCAACTGTCAACACTCATTTTTGTCTAATCGAGAGCTCAATTGAAGTGAAAATAAATGTTTAAGAATTTAAATGATTCGAAATAAAAAATTTAAAATTTTATTTATTGTAATAAAATATCAAGTTAATAGCACCCATAGTCCTAAACTTTAACCCAAATTCTACTTTGCTCCCTAAATTTTAAAAAATTTTAATTGGATCTTTAATTACTCAAAGTTATCTTATTTTGGTCATTCCATTTATAGAATCATCTAAGTTGACGACAAATACAGCTAGCACTACTTGATAATGTCAATTAATATCTCACATGACAGATGAGGAACCAAAATAAAATATTTTCAAAGTTTAAGGACTAAAAACAAAATTATCTCAAAATTTTATATGTTTCATACATGTCTTATAAAAATACTAATTTTAAATTATATTTGCATATTTTGTTATAATATAACTTATTAGATAGATTTTTTTAAAATAGAAAATAGATATTCAAAACTTAAAATTAAAAACAAAAAAAATATATTAAAAATATTATTTTACTCATGTCATAATAAAACATATTATTTTCTATCCAAAAAATTATTTTTAAAATATTAAATATCTTTTACTTTATATTTTTAAACATATTTTATAAAATACATTTTATAAAAAGAAAAAATAAAAATGTTTTAAATTATATTTTTTATTTTATATGAATATAAAGTTTTTATATTTTTTAATAGATTAATAAATCTATTTTTGAAAATAATCTAAAAATTTTTACATAATATTTTAACATCATAGAGAGCTTTTATTTAACTTTTCAAGCCAATATAAAATTTTTACTTGATTTTTTAAAATGATACATAATTTTAACAAAATTATTTTCAATTTTTCAACTTAATTTTAATTTTTTAAAAATCTATTTTCTATTAAAAATATTATTGAACTGATAAATCATATCATAATAAAAATTAAAAAATATTTTAAATTATATTATTTTATAAAATATATTTGAAATATATAAAAATCAAAATTTTCTTGAATTATTTTTGTCTTTTCCTTTATTTATTTCTTATAAAATAAATTTGCAAAAGGAAAATAAAAGACATTTAATATTTTAAAATATATATTTTATGGATAGATAATAATATTTTTATTATGATCTATGAGTAAAATAATATTTTTAATAAAAAATAATTTTTAATTTTTAAAATGATATTGAATGTTTTAAAAAAATTGGATTTTTAACTTAATTTTAATTTTTTAAAAAACTATTTTATGTAAAAAATTAAAAATATTACTAATAAATTATATTACAACAGAAAATGTGAAAATATACTTTTAAATTTAATATTGTATAAAATATATATGAAATATATAAAATTTTGAAATAATTTCATCTTAGCTTCTTAAATTTTGAGAAAATTTTATTTTAATCTCTGTTTATTATGTTAAATATTATCCTACGTCGTCATCCTATGATATCAACTGACATTTACCATCAATTTAAATGATCCCACAAACAAAATAATCAAAATAAAACAATTTTAAACAATTAAAAATCCTATTATAACTTTTTAAAATTTTAATAACCAAAATAAAATTAAAATTAAAATTTAATAACTACGAACACTATTAACCCTAAAATATCATAAACTTAAATAATTATTGAAAATTTTCTCCAACGCTCTTTCTTTTTTTTCACCCTTTTGCCCATATTTTGCATTGATTGACATTTTACATACACTCAAATTGCAAGTCCAATTGTGATAATGGCTAGAGAGCTATAAGGTTGAGGTCAAGTATTCTCGATCTTTAAAGAATCAAATACATGTCCAATCCACATTAAATATAAGAAACACCCACTTAATTAAAGTTTTTCCTCAACCAAATCAATAAATTACATACAACTTTTCGTATGTTCATCACAGCCAACCATGCATGGAAAAAGAGTTTAAAATAGTAGGTCCAAAAGATATATCTCCAATTATAGGAATCTGAAACCCTGCAGCAAAAGATATGGCAAAATACCACAATTTAACATGATTAAATTATTATCATTTTTCTCCTAATGCTTTCCTTTCTACCGATATGAGCGACCAAGTGAAGAACTAATCTAATCGTGGAATTTAAAATTTTAACAAGAGTAATAACATAACAATCATGGCTATGCTAATTATCACTAATTTTACATATCAATTGGAAATCTGAGCCCCCCTTTAGAAATCTACCATCAGGGTTCTAAATTTTTCTCCTTGTTTAGTCTTTCTTCATCACTTCGTTTAAGTATATGCTTGAATTTGCTTGGTCATTCCTATATTTACCATAGGGGTATATTGTAATCTCACGCAGTCCAATCTTCATCACTTCCATTAGTATCCTAAATGAGATAAACAAGGAAAAAAAATCGTTAAAATGGACAATAACCATGAAAATTCTGATGCATATGCTGGGGGTGGGCAGGGGAGAGGCTTTTGTTGAGTATTTACTTCTGCTCGATTATGGTAGAAGTTGAAAACTAAATAGAAGCTTATAAGAAGTCTCACCTGTGATGTGCTTGACAATTCTTGGATGTCCTCTTCAACCTAAAAGGTTTATTGGCAGTATTAACCACATTGAATGATAAAGGAACTTGACTTTTGTACATACTTTGTCTAGGAAAAGTAACTGATTCAGACAACTATGGCACAATGAGTAAATTATACTATTAGTCAGCAAACTTGAGTCGAGTTTTTATTTTGGTCACCCAACTACAAAAAAATTCACGATTTAATCACTAATGTTTCTGCAATTTATTTTTAGTCACCCAACTGTTAGATACTAACAGAACGTTAATGTAGCCTTCCACCTATCATATCAATGGCCATATGGCATGGCCATGTCATCTGCAAGGTCATGTGGCAAAGAACACATGACATTACAAAATTTTTAAAACGATAAGAGAAGTTTAAGATTTAAGAGGGAATTTTTTATGGGGGAAAAGACCGCCCAATCAAATAAGAACAAGGAAAGAAAAAAAAAATAGATATGACAAGAAGATATATAAATAAGACAAGAAGAGAGTGAAGAATTACCACTCAACAGTTGCTGATATATGCCAAAAATGATATCTTATTCTTACCACTCCTATCCTTGATTGAATATAAAATTACCAAATGATTCTCTACATAATGGTGTGAACTTTACAAATATAGTTTTCTCTTATATAAGTCAATGCAATTCAGATGGTAAAACGCATCAATAAGATTAGGAATGCTTTCATATGTAAGAGTTGATTTATAATTGCTTAGGCAAGGAGATTTCATGGAAAGAGAATGGGAAGATTGAATTTTAATTTGATAGATTTGGAAATCATTTCATGAACTGAACACAACAACATTAATAGATTGATTCTGTAAGTTCCTCCAAAGTTATTGTAAATTACTTCAAATTTAAAACCAAAAAAAACTTTTCAGTAGCACATAGTAAATTGGTAGTGTTTCAAAGGTTAGTGAGTTTTAACAAATTTCAGGGAGTATCATCAAAATAATGAAATGTGAAAATGGCATTAGACTATGTTTCAGACCAGGGAACTGATTACCACACCATTATCCAAATAGATGGTTGACTTAATGCAAAAACAAAGTACTTCAACATAAAGAAACACCAGAACTTTAAAATATAGACAATGATACCTCAGATTCTTTCTTCTTTCTTTTGATTCCTGATCCTACAATTTCAAAGAAGTCTCTATTACAAATTTAAACAGAAAACAAAATGCTGAAGGAAATTAAAAGCCAATATTTTCAGCAGCATTCATATGTCACAGAGATAAACCTGCACTCTGAATAAGTACTAGAAACCATAAGAATATGCATGCTTACAGTTACTTTTTATGAGAGCTGACGTACATAATTCTAACACAACATTTGTTCTATATAGCCTACCTTGCAACTGCAAACTGATGGCAAAAGGAACCTCCAATTTCTTAAGAAAGTTCTTGAAGATGATTATATACAATGCATGTGCACAAGGACGAAAAAGGGAAAGCAGCCAGCAGTGAAATAATTCTGCCTTTCAGAACATTCACAACATCCTCTATAATATTAAAAATAACTAGATAAATTTATTCAATTAGGAAGGGTATATGGACAAATTCATAAAATCAAACAACAAAAGTGTCGCACCAAATATACTTTTGAGTACCCCTTGATAAAAATTCAATCAAGCAAACAAAATGACGATTATCATCAGTCTTTAGGTTTATCAAATGTTGACCAAATCAGAGATTGGTTTATCTGTCATAGCTGAAATAGTTGAAATTCATCTGCATGGACCTCATTATAGAACTAGAACCTTTTTTCTGAACCTCATAAAAAAACAATTACATCGAACTGCCTCATCAATACCAAACTTATTATTATTGCCTATGCTAGCATGATTGAGCATTTTAAGTTATTGCACATGATCAAATCGGACATTGGCTTATATATCATACATGAAATGGTTCAAAATCATCTTCATAGACATCGTTACAAGAATAAAAACTTATTCATGAACCATATAAATAGGCCATTATGATTCAACTACCTCATCAAGTCCAAAGTCCAAACTTAGATCACCTGTCTTAACTTTAAATCAGATCAGCTCAAAATTGTGACAACAAATATATACTTGGCTTTTTTCAATCCTTTCATGCACAAGAAAGAAATATTGTTAATTCTGACAAACAGATTTACATGACAAGATTAAATTCTCCCTCACCTAGCCTTTCCAGAAAACAGTCAAACAAAAATGTACCCTAATCAAGATGGCAAAGTACTCATCAATGAAATGGCAGCTTAGGCCTTTGATCAATCGAGTGGGTAGCAGCCACTTTAGTAGACAATATATTACTTGAATTAAATGAGTTATGAATGTGGAAATAAAACTAGATAATAAAACATCCAATAAAGTCTTGCCAAGTAAGTTACGAATGAGAAAATAAGAAGTAATTAAAAATCCAATAGTCTTGCCAGATTAATGATATCTTTCAGCAATTGTTCCGCTGAAGTTTTTAGTAGTTTTTAATGATGAATTATAACAATTTTGAGTTTTGAGTTTTGAGTTATTGAATTAGATTTCTCCGGTCATTTATTCTATCTTTGCCTATACTTCCTCTATTTCTGCCCTTTTCGTCCTCTCTCTCTCTCTCTCTCTCTCTCTCTCTCTCTCTTCCTTTTTTGTCTCTTTCCCTCCCTTGTTCTGTAGCAGAACTCCCACTTTGCCATACCATTTGTTGCTTTTGACCACTTGGCTGCTCTCCCCTTCCCTCGTCCTAACCTTCTATTCGTTCTAAGGAGGGACTTTATTTACTGTCTTTGATCCACCGATAATGATTTAGATAAGTGGCTTGTAGCCACTTTTGAAGCTAGGACCTAGCTCCCCAAAATTAGAAGAATAAGCAAGCTTTTGGTACTGAACAGAAGAAAGAAACAGAATAATAGCATTGGAAAAACTAAGTTTATAGGGCTTGGACATTGCAAAAAGATGAAAGGAGAAACAAAGTCACCAAAGAAGAAAAATATTCAAAGATCACAAATATAGCAGCCTCACACCTGTACACAAACCACAGGATGAAGTGTCATTTCTGTAGCAAGGCCGTAACCCAACTGCTGACAGTACTCCATCCACCTCCATAATCGACAACCCAACAATTAGGTGATAGTTTCCCACCCTCACCCAAACCATGGCCTCTTTTTTTCTCATTCAAATGAAAGATTCTGTGAAGATGAGAGGTGCAGCCCCCATCCTTTTATATAAATGGGGTATTACTGGTCAATGGTGAAAAGTATAGGTTAGGCCCTTGTACTCTCTTAGTAGGGGCGAACAAGGTCTAGGTGGCTGGTTCTAAAGTCAAGACAGCAGACCACCCATTTATGGTCAGTCCTAAAATTTTGTACCATCTTTTGGTCCATGCCCCCTTAGGACTGACAGTCAGTCCATTGTAGTCCAAGATCAACCCTAAATCCGATAATTTAAAAAATAATAATAACTATAATTAAAGCAACAGCATTCAATTATTATAAATATAAATAAAAAAATATTGTACCGAATTCATGAATACTACAGGAAAATGGTACTATTGGAAATTATTAACATAGCAGTAGCACATTCATGCATACACAAAGCAAGGGAGAAAAAGAGAGAATCTTACCAGTGGTTTTTTCTTCAATTAATTTTCCCATTTTGTTAGATCCCTCAGTCTACAACACCAAAAGCAGATGCTGCTTGTCAGTATGTAACGTTCATCTCCAATAGTTTCCCAATTTGTTCAACATTCAGCAGTTAAATGACAAGCACAGAGTTGAAAAAGATAAATATTTCAGCGAAAATGCAAAAAGAGAAGAAAAACTGTTGAATATCAAAGCTCAATATAACCTGATCAATCTTCCGTTTGGAATTCTTAAACTGCAACTTCTTACGAGGAACTGAAAGCACACAATAGGGAAACAAATCATAAATCTTAATAATCTTTCACAATATTTATAATGGGAAAAGCAAGCGGGAAAGAGGCAACCTTTTGAGGATGAAGATTTATCTGAACCCTTTGATCGCTTCAGAATTAAAGCAATATTATTAGAACATAAAAACTTTTAATATTGAAAACCACATTTTACTATGTAAGCAAACCATACTTTTCAATGAGTAATTAGACAACTTGAGGGCAAAAGTAAAAAATGTATGGACCATTAGTCCATTACCAATCAAGGAAATTAGAAAGAACTTATTAGGAAATTTTGAGACCAAATTGCTTGGCATATCCTAACTACATGGGTGCAAGTGAAATATTTCTATTTTTTGACTATTACTCTACGAACAAAGCAATTAACTTCTACTGGAAGCAGAGACAAATTATTATAGCTACATAGCAGAGAGTCATGGGCAGTAACAATTGATATGTTCAGCATAAAGACCTACAAGGAAAAAGAGAGAGAGAGAGTATGATTCCAGTCTCTGTGGTGTTACCACTCACTCAAAAGGAGGAGGAAAGGTGTCAGGGTGCCCTTGCAAATCTCCACCAGAAATTTACACAGAAATATCACACAAAAAGCTAACATTATTAATATCATGACAAACAATGTTTGACATATGCAAACTTCCTTATATAAACTCATGTAACTTGACAATTACTAAATTCCACCTTTAACCAGGTCAGAAGTTTAATTTATCATGGTTGAACTTGAAAGTATGATTATGTACAAAAAATAAAGTGATAGATGCACAAAACATGCTTCATATATTTGTTTGAGCTTCACCTATACACTGCACGGTAGGCCCAGACACTTCCATACTTCAACACCCTATGCTAATTACAGGGATCAACTATCTCACGAACCAAAATTGAAGTGTATGATTATGGATGGTTGTGCAAAAACAGAGCTTGTCTACGAGAAAATCATTGGCTTAAGAGGAAGGAAACTTTTTGAAGTTTTTTACTGCATTCAGTAGGAGACATAGGTACTCAACAATGTCAAGCACCTGGAGGGATACAGTAGATCTAAAAGCGTCTAAATTCATAGATGTGGATTGATCACGATTAATCACCACCCTTCTTTTCTTTCCCCAAGCAAGGACATAGCATAAAATTTTAAACATGATCTTACACAGGAATGCCAGATGTACTCAGTTCATAAATTTCAAGAAAAAAATAACAAACCTATCCAAAGAGCAATATATACAAGATTCTAAGATTGGCATGCCCTCCTTAACTTTTATACTTTCACTTGCATCCATAAATTTTTTATATACTTTCAACTATAATAGAGTTCAAACTTTACACAAAATGGAGCTGAAAATAGAATCTGTTCTACCCCTAAACCATAAGACAATAATAGCTAGTTTAGACTTTGTACGATTACTCAACAGCACTTACTATATGTTCCTTTATCTTTGGAGCTCCCTCAGAAATAAAATCTATTAACCTAAAATGTTTAATAAAAGCTACTGTCATTGCATTTGCTATACTATGATAGAGACTAGTGTCATCTAACAGAAAGCATCCTAACCCTTACTGGGTCCAGATAGAAATTTTCACAATCTGCGAAGAAATACAATACCGACATCGATAGCATTTTGACATTGCTGCGTACGATAAACAAGTGCAAACATTCTTAAGAACAGGCACAAATAAACATTAGAAAATCCATGATGCAATGCACAACCATCCCAAATGCATTCACATAGCCAGTACCCATGTCATACAATCAGGTAATAGGAAAAAAAAAGAGCATCCAATGAAGTTAAACTAAATAAAGCAACTTCTCTTATCATACTAATGATTATTTTGCCATACCTTTTCTTCCACTTTCTTAAACAGTGTAGATATGTTAGCTTGAACAAGTGAACCACGATTTGTGTTTAAATTTTCCTTAGATTTAGTCACTGTAACAGTTGACTGAGATGTTTTTCTGAACTTGGTCGCTGACATTAGAGAAGTTTGGTTTTGTTTGGAGACCCGGTTATCTTCTTTAGTATCAGAACCAAGAACCACAGGAATGGAACTAATAGTCTGTAACTATTAGTTAAGGAACCAAAAACCAGAAGCTGAGGAATAATTTAAGTAATTAAATAGAGGAAAAATGAAGCTCTATAATTCAATATTCTGCCTGCAGCAATGATGCAACAGGAAAACGCAATTGGATAATGAAAAACAATCAAGATATGCTAAATCAGGATATTTCCAATAGTATCAGTTTCAGTTAAATCAAGTTTCATGCTAACTTCCTTCTCTTCTCCATCTAATGGTTCAGCATCACTTCTGACAGGGTCATCCTCGGAAGAAGCCTCAGAAAATCTAAATTAACACAAGAAGTCAAAGATGAATTCAACTTCCGAAACCTCTAACATATAAATGCTAACTTAGATACTCTTAAACTTAATAAAGGGAATAGATTAGAAAAGATAAATTATGGAGAAATGGAAGTGCCAATAGAACCTCAATAAATGGACAACAACATAATTATTATTGGTACTTATCAAAAGCCAACAGAAGTACATAACAATCCCAGGGAATCCCATTCAACAAAAGTATGTGAGCAGAAATGTGTTCTATATGCTCTAATATTACTAATGAATGGAACTGTTCATCACAGTTATATCATACAGAACACAATTATGGTTGATTACATTCAGGTCTAAGAGTCATTCGTTTCAATATATCACCATATGAGAAGAGAACAAATGTAGCCATCCTGATAAATGCTCTGCAGGGAGAGAAATCATTTCTAAGTTCTACTACCTCCAAATTAGTTGCTTAACAAAAATTCTATCTACTGGATCCACCAGAGAAGAAAAGACTTATTTCTACAATCATAAATTAATAATGAGCCAATATAGCTTTATATTTCACAGATAAATGGATCAGATAACTACAGAAATCTTTAAATCAAGAAAGACTGCATGTAAAATAAAACAAAAAGTTAGAATTGTACTTGAATCTTTTGCCAGCATTTCTTGCAGAGTGCCGAGTTGGTGTCACTTCCATCTTAACTTTCAAGTTGTTGTCATCATCTGATAAAGAATCTCCAGACTCAGTATCAAGGGACTCTACTTCAACCCGTTTTATTTCTGTTCTAGGAATGCCTTGCTTGTTAACAGATGCCACCCCAGCACCACCTTTAAAGTCATATTCCATCAGATGTCCCTGAAAGCAAAAATTAACAGTGATGAAGATTAATAATGGAGCTTATCCACAAGTCACACGAAACACGGTAGAGTAAAATAAGCATTCAAACATGAGAAACTATTAGAAAAAGAAACCAACCTCACACAGTTCCTTTGGAAAATCAAGCCGTGCTTCTTCTGGGTTCTCATCTTTTTTCCCAATCCACCATGCATCGGAGAATACAATCTGGAAATATCAGATTCTAGTGCTGATTTAGAAAACATGAACATGCTCCAAAGCCATAGTTGATAAGGGTAGATGCCAGCGTGACAGTGAAAAGAAATAATAACCAATGAACATAAGTGTTTGGAAAACATGATGACTCATGAGGCAAAAGAAGAATGGTATATTTTCAAACTTATAAGGCCTGGAACTTTCTGATATGGAAAACAATTTTAACATATTGGGCCTGCTGGCATCCCAGGATCATACAGCTAAGCACTCAACCAAGGAAAAGCTAGAAGGGTGTAGTTTATACGTGCACAAAATTTGAGCATATATAATCTACTCTAAGTAGTAAAGGATGTAGATAAAACAAAAAACAAAACATAAACGTAACTAAGTTTTTTCTTTTGTAATTTGGAAATGTCCATGAAAATGAAAACTCAAGTTACATACAACTAGAAAGAACAATGGCTTAGTAGAAATTGCATTTCCTCAAGTATACCAAATATTATTCACCCTAGGGAGATACAAAAACTAACGAGTATTGAAGCTTATGGTTGAATTTATCTAGGGGTACTGTCAGACAATCTTAGCATTATCCATCCAACTCAATATTCAAAGCATCCACATTACGTAGAACATCAATAGTTCCTAATATCCCGAGAAATACAGTATTAGTTAGAAGTCAGGGACTTTCAACGTGAAGGTCTCAACTCTCAAGTTCAAACATCCAAAATAATAGGATGTAAAGTTTATAGAAAGAGAAATCTACCCTCAGTTGCATATCATCTTAAACCTAATTCATCGCCATATGTTAAAAGAATTTAGTTCAAAGAAACAGCAATTCCTAACTTGGTACAAAAACTGGTTGAACAATAATTCCCAGAACAGAAACTAATAACAAAATCAATAAAAGGATAAAACATAAAACAAAAGAACGAACCATGTTGTCAAAATAATCCTCACACATAACGTTCTTCCCACCACGAGAGAAGAGCAAACTCAGATACCTATTCTTGGGATACACAATTGTACCAAACAACTTCATTTGACCCTAAAAACCCAAACAATTTCCAATATTAGATTTTATAAACCCCTAAAAGATTCAACACAACTTATGATTTGGAATTAAAATTTCTAAACCTGAGGGAAATCAAGGTAGAGGGTAGGGTTTTTGGAGCCCAAATTCTTGAGTTCGCCGATCTTGCCACCAGAGATGGGAGCAAGGAGACCGGGGAAAGAGAAAAGGAAACGGTTTTTCCTTTGAGATTTCCTGAGAATATCTTTGCCATGGTGCTTTATTACTTGCTTCGACGGGCTGAGAGGCACGTAAGATTTGGGCGCGGCCGATATCTCGGAAAGCAAGTTGTTTCTGAAAGCCAATTTCTTCAGTCTTCTCCGCTCTGTGGCTTCTGGGGTTTCTGCAGTCCGTGGCTTCTTTGAAGAGGAAGCTCGCACCATTTTTCTCTGGATTGAGATTTGGAAATGGAAAAAGAGTATTGCTTTTTTCGTGATATTGCTGCACAATAACTTGAAGGGGAGGCGGGAAGTTGTAATTGTTTTTCTGCCTTTTTCAGCCTTCTCGTGATGCATAGCCTACTTTTTTGGTTAAAGTCTGATAGTTAAATCATACCAAATGTTTAAACAGGTTAGTAGCCAAATGTTTAAGGTGGTTACAAAGCACCAACGTATGATTACGCAAGTGCTAAGGAGATTTATTTTTTTAAAATAAAATTTTAATTTTGAGTTTTATAAATAAAAAATATAAATTTAAGAGGTTTTATTTTTTTCATGAGATTTAACTCAATTCGATTATGAATTAATTAAAATTAAAAATGATTACAGATACGAAAAGATCCCAATTAAAAAAAAAATGGTTACTAAACTTTGGAAAGTATTTGTAATATCTATATGATTTTGTTAATTAACATAGTATTGGAATAGTCATTTAGAGTTATATTTATTATCATTTAGAGTTAATCAATAATTATTATATTAATTAATAAATTTATAATTTAAATATTATATTAAAATTTTTTAAAATTCAACTATTATATTAAATATTTCATTATAATTTAAAATCATTAGTAATATTTATTTTTTTAATAATTATAAGCTTATATATTATCAATAATAATAAATTTATAAGCTCTGGAACTATTTTCCATTTATAAGTATATAAATAAATTTATAAACTCTGTATCTATAAACATAGGACTTATATTTATGCATCCTTATGTATTCAAAAAATATATTTAAAATTAATTTTTTTTAAAGTATCACTATATGATTTATTAATTGTGTATAACATTAATATAAGACATTATAGCAAATATAAATTCTTTATTTAAACCCTAGTTAAAATTAAATCTTTGATTGACTTTTGACTAGTACTTTACTAAGCCGAGTCCTTTAAGCATTCTTTATTAGATGAAACGGAGCATCACATACCAATTGATTTCTGCATGCATCACATACCAACTGAATTCTGCTTCTTGTTTGTCAAAGAGAAATCAAGTTGTTGACCTACTTACACTGCGTAGAAGAGCAAGCTTTTTGGCCATTTTTCGTTTTCCCCTTTAGTTAATTTTCTTTTATGCATGAGGGTGATTCTAAGAATTTTTTTCTAAAAAACACCAACAAATATGAAAATAATGAATTTCTTTAAAAAAAAAAAAAAACCTTAGTGATACGAATATAGTGCAAAAACAAATTTTCACCCGAAAAAAGGGTCAAAGACCTTGCTATCAGAAAATTAGAAAGCTGAAGAACAATAAGAACAGACAGGTTAAAGTTTCAGACTGAATTCGCAGTCACTAGCTTTAATGCTAATGATATTGTCAGCAGATAAACTATCAACCACCAACTTGCATTCTACCAAGATCCTCATCTTCCTCATTTTCAACTTCCCAAGTTTGATTGCTACAGGGGCATCAACCTTGAGATCCAGGGGGATCTGTCCTGTTTGCTGCTGCTGTTGCAAGGCCGACATCAAAGTGCTTCCAGTTCCAGACTCTGTTTGTCCTGTTAAAACCACATCCAACTTTGTTATGTTCTGGTGGCCTTGGTCGAACTTTGGCAGTGACCCTTCACGCAGCTTTGAGTTTGTATACCAGACGCTTAATCGCCCTCCTTGCTCGTAGTATATTCCGATTTTCTTGTTGGGATTATTGGCTGTGATCTTGACGTCGAATTTTGCATACAAGGTCATATCAAAGTTGAGCGTCAAATCACTTATTCTCAGGCTGTCAATATAGTATTTGGGGAGTTTTGGGCGGAAGACAAGGTAAAGAATGCCAACAGTGGCACCAAGGATTATCACGAGGAGGACAATGAGACTTATTGTCCAACATATGCACTTGCAACAACAGCTCTTCTTCTTCGGTGTCCTTGTGGGAATCACAGGAATGGTACGTTGTGGCGGTCCTGGCGGAGGCTGCTGCACCGGGCTCCCTTTTTCCTATGTAGCAGAACCAGGAGGCACCAGAAGCGCCGTCGGCGCTAGCGCTTCAACACCCATCACAGGATGAATTTTCTGCTGCTCTGTCATAATAACAAAACTAGTATTCCTTCCAGCTTTCTTTCTTCAATCTGGTTTCAACTCTCCTAATATGATAAAGCCATAGTAATATATTGGAAGCATCATAATATATTAGCTAGAAATTGACTTTGGTTCCTTATTCGATTTGGTTTTCAACGTAGACAAGTGCTTGTCTCTTATGTCTTGATTTGTCCTTCGATGGATGAAACTTTCGGGTTCAAAAGTCTAACCTGCTTAACCTAATAACAACATATACAAAACAAAACATGCGGGGTAGTTCAGCTAAGTAACAAGAAACCACCCTCCAGTACCTTGTAAGTAACATTTATTTTATTCAATGCCCTCTTCTAAGACTTTACAAAGTGCATTACAAGCCTGTTAGATGTTTGTAGTTGGGGCTTGCACGTTTGGATAAGCTTGACAATTCGTATATTTGTACGTATAAAATATTGATAATTTATGTATTCGTATCATATATTACATAAAAATTATATTACAATTCGTATTGATATAAAAAACTCAAAATGCATTTTTTTTTTATTTTTGTTGAACGAATATATGATTTTTAATAAAATTTTATTTTTGTATCTTTTTTCATATTAATTATCATATGGTATTTTAAATGGCCATATCTATATTAGGGAAAGGATTCAAGCAACATTTTATTTTAGTGGGTAAGATTCTCTTTAAATTTATACCAAACACTTGAATAAAATCTTTACCTTCATTTAAAAGAATGAGGCCAAGTGAAAGAGAAACGAGCATCGATTGAAAATAAATCCTAATTAAGCGATTGAAAAGCAATAATAGTACTTAATATCCAGTTAATTTCTCAGCTGGAAAAAGAATTTAAAACATTGGTGAAGGCCACATCAATGCTCGTACAGACAGAATTATAACTGCAATTTTCATGCATAACTCATAAGAGGCAATGCATACACTAGTGTTTAACCAAAAAATATTTTTTTTATTCAGAGGCAATCTATCCAATCTTCTTGATGTTGGCAGTCAAACCAGGGGCTATGTAAAATCTTCCAAGGCTTTTTTGTTTTTACAGGAGATAAAAATTATAAAATCATTAGAAAATGAGCAAATTTAGCTCTTTTACAAATTAAATGGAACTTTAATTTTATGTATAACATATTTGAGAGTAACAGAAAATTAAATTGATAGATAGAGTTTAGTTCGGTAATTTTATATAACTACCCTTAAGAGGTGATATCTAATAAATTTAATATTCAAATGTCTCACACATCCAATCCTTTGCTTGTATACTCAAGTTGCAGCCTCTTTTGTACCAAAAAAAATAATAAATTGAAAGCAAAATTACAGATAACATACATGTAGGAAAATTATTCCATTCACTGCCAGGCAAAATCAAAAACAGGATAGGAAAATTGTAGTACTCTTGCTGTTTTGTTGAATTGCATGAAATCAAATGGGATTGCCAAGTCACAAAATCTGGTCATTTGACTCTCTGTCAACCAAATGAAAGAAGGAAAAACATATATTGTAGCATCCTACAAATTGGGACAAGAAATGAAAAATAATGGCAACAGGAAGAAAATCAAAAGAAAATGTTTTCTACTGACAAGAGTTATGCAGTCAACATATAATGTTTTCTACTGATAAAAAACATGTTTAGACATGGCTGCCACTAGCAAGCTTGCTAAATGTTTTGAAGATGCATAACACTGGGAAGAAAAGGTTCATATTATAGCACCTAAGTCTAGCCTTTTCTTCTCAAGACTCGTTTTTATACTTCTTTGCTTTATTTTAAAGCTTCAAACCAGGCATTACACACTTCAAATCTATCAAAAAAAGAATGCTTAAGGATAACCGGCAATGTTTTTCATGTACAAATAAGATTTCCCAATAGGAGAACCTGGAAAGTAATTTAATAGGACGAGATTGTAGGAATCAGTGGGCTTCAAAATGAAAATTACAACTATCAGCTTAGATGAGCCTAGCATAATTCGAATTGACCAACCATCACAACTAAATGTTCTTTTTTCAGAGAAATCTTATTGGATAGGGATGCCAATAGAGCAGATATTTGTTATTTTTTAGGTATTTGTATCTAAATTCGATTAATATTTATGATATTCGAATTGGTTTAAATTTAGTATCACTATTCGAATCCGTTTAAATAAACATTATTAATTTAAATATTGAAATCTTTTAAAATATCCGATTACTTAAATTTTTATCAAAATATAAAATAAATAAGAATTAAATTTAAAATTTAAATTCACTTTTAATTAGTAACAACTAAAAGTTATTTCTTAAGATTCAAAATCTTCCACAAGTATAAAATTTTACATATTTTACATATGTAAACAAGTAATGCATTTGAATATCTGTTACCATTTATTAAAATATAAATGGACTCAATTATTAAATATCCAAATGATACTATCCATATTTCGTTTGAATTCGTCACAAATAGCAAATCTTTTATCTAAATCCGTTAATTATCTGTTTATTTACTATCTATTATCATCATTATTACTGAAGACTCCTTATAATTAACCCTTGTTCCCATGTTAATAGAATCCCATAGCAGCATATTTTAATTAAGAGCCATGCTAATTTATATATGGATGGACATTCATTTGTGCATTCATTTTTTATACAAAGGAAAGTATAACTTAAGGATAGAAGAAGAAATTGCAGGTATTAGAACTTGAACCCTAAACGTGCTGAATACCATCACTTAAGGGTGACTACATAAATTAACTGAACTTGCTTTGGGTTCCGTTTAGACATTCATTGAATGTGTACATTTTAATAGAGCAATTCAATCTAAATTTCTCTACAAGTTTTTTAAATTCAGTTGGTCAATTTAATGTCATCCTGGTTATATATTTGTAGATACATAAACACCAGAAAGCCATATCTTAAGCACCAATGGACTAGAAACTTGCATACTATCTAAACTTTTTGCTTATATAATCTTTTGGTCTCACAAGGAAAGGCTATTTTCTTGAAAAGGCCAATCTTACTAAAGATCTTTCAAGCTTATGCATAATAAAATTTAGGTATTGAGACTTTAAAATAGGTATGTGCTACTTGAAGGGTTTTTTTTTTTTTTTTTTTTAATTTGAACAA